CCTTTATATAATCTTCTCCATCTCCACTCCTCGGAAATTCAGGGCTCTACTCAAAATTCAGCTCTCACTTTGTTTCTCTATCCAACAACACCCACACGCACACATTGAGCCCTTTTCTTTCCCTTAAAACATAAGCAACACCACCATTGTTGATTTGTTTTACTATTGTTTTCTTGATCAATAACAGGATTGGTCATTTCTTGATCTCTTTCTTTAACACAAAGAAATGGCTTCGCCGCCCCACACAAGCAAGACCCTAAAGCTAGAGCGTTACAATAACTACCTTCGCAGGCTACATAGCACAAAGGTGCTGAATGCATCTTCAAAACTCATCTTCCGTGTTACGCTTCTTATTGCTCTTGTCTTGATTCTCTTTTTTACCCTTAATTACCCTCCACTCTCTGATAAAAATCCCAATCATGCCCATCTCCACCACCACAACTTCCTTTCCGCTGCCCTTTTCACCTCCTCAGCTGGCGGTGATGCCTGGGAGAAACAAGTCCGCCACTCCTCCACTCCAAAAAAGCCAAATGGGCTCTCGGTTTTAGTAACTGGGGCAGCTGGTTTTGTTGGCTCTCATTGCTCTATTGCTCTAAAGAAAAGAGGTGATGGGGTTCTTGGTTTAGACAACTTCAACAGTTACTATGACCCTTCACTTAAAAGAGCAAGACAAAAGCTTCTATTGAAAAACCAAGTTTTCATTGTTGAAGGTGACTTGAACGATGCCTCATTGTTAACAAAGCTTTTTGATGTTGTTCCCTTCACGCATATACTCCATCTTGCAGCACAAGCTGGGGTTCGTTATGCCATGCAAAACCCACAATCCTACGTGAGTTCAAACATTGCAGGTTTTGTCAATCTTCTTGAAGTTGCAAAAACTGCAAATCCACAGCCGGCTATTGTGTGGGCATCCTCAAGCTCAGTTTATGGGTTAAACACTCAAGTTCCTTTCTCTGAATTGGATAGAACAGACCAACCAGCAAGTCTTTATGCAGCTACCAAGAAAGCAGGAGAAGAAATTGCACATACTTATAATCATATTTATGGTCTTTCACTCACTGGATTAAGATTCTTTACAGTCTATGGTCCATGGGGTAGACCTGATATGGCTTATTTCTTTTTCACGAAAGATATCTTGCAAGGCAAACCAATTGATGTGTATCAAACTCAAGATAAGAAGCAAGTAGCTCGTGACTTCACTTATATTGATGATGTTGTCAAAGGGTGTCTAGGGGCTTTGGACACCGCGGAGAAAAGCACAGGAAGCAGTGGCAAAAAGAAAGGACCTGCCCAATTGAGAGTTTACAATCTTGGCAATACCTCGCCAGTTCCTGTTGGGAAATTGGTGTCAATATTAGAAGGCTTACTGAGTACAAAAGCAAGGAAGCATGTGATCAAGATGCCAAGGAATGGGGACGTGCCTTACACACATGCTAATGTCACTCTGGCATACAGGGATTTCGGATACAAACCTACCACGGATTTAGCTACTGGGTTGAGAAAATTTGTAAAGTGGTACGTTGATTATTATGGGATTCAGACAAGGGTCAAGAAGTATAGTGATATCAACAGTGAGCATCCCGAGGAATCAGCTTAAGGTCCATGATCATCGCCATCATCACATGGTTTTGTCTTTTCTCTTTCCTTTTACCCTTTTTGTGAATTAAATGAATTCTACTTTTTTTCTCTTCTTCTGGTCGAGGCATTGTTCTGGTCCTTTGATGTATTCGATCAAGCTGTGGCAAGCTGCTGTTGATATTGTAGCATATAGAGATAGATTTGACACAAAGGAAGAAGAAGGGGGAAAAAAGGATTCAAGAGAGTGAAAAGGGCAGTGGGGGACAAGGTGTAGATCTGTGAATTCGGGGGTATGAGACTGCTCAAAAGGGGATGCAGATCTCAGCCATTAGATTCATATGAAAGAAATTTGTGATTGGACAACAATGATCACATTAAGATTCTTTCTTCTTTTCAATTATTTCGATGCTTTGCTGCCCTTGCATTTCTTTTATTGGTCATAATTAGGTGTGTTCTTTTTGAAATGCAACTTGATGAGATCTTTTTTTATTTTATTTTATTTTATTTCTCTTGGCAGGGTGCCTTGCAAGCATCATGAATAAAGGGGGCAAGATTGTCCCTTTCATGTTAAATGTTGTCCTATATTATAATCTTTATAATAACTCCGGTACCATATACTATACGCCAAGACGGAACAAAATGTCTAGATTTTCAGCTTCTCAATAAAAATACCACAATGTTTCCACTAACACACGTATATAAATCTTATGCATTTTGATAGGAGCTACGTAGGGTTGCATATATTTGTTTTAATAATTACATCTATATAATTACATTTTATTTCAAATTCAATATTATCTCAATAGTTTTTCACACAAACTCTTCTACTATTATGCTACATATAAACACACGACTATTGATTGATTGCGTAGAATACTTTTAAAAGTTTAAAGAATTTATCTTTAAGTTCATATTTAAATTTTTGTTGCTCTAAATTGTTTTATAGTTCCTATTTAATTAGTGTAGGATAATATTATTTAATTAGTAATAAACCACACAACACTTGAATTATTGGCTAGTTCGCTATGAATTGGATTTATGTGAATCCAATTATTTTTTAACGATAAGGAATACTAATCAAATAAAGACATTAATTTCTTGATTAGTTTATAATGTATAATTCAACGTTTAGATTTTAGGGAAGGTGATGCTAACGGATCTAAATATATTACGAATCAAAGATAATGAAAAATAGAATTTCTGAAAAGGATTCATCAACAATTCTAATTATGATTTTTATTGTAGAGCAATTTATCTTTAATATTCTATTATCTGAAAAGGGATTACAATCCTTTAAATATGTTTGAAATCAATCCTTGCAAGCTAAAAAAATTCAAATTCCTTAAACATATAGAAAAAAAAATATATAACTAACAAAATAACATTTTATGATTGATCTAAGTGGAAATCTTGCTCACATAAGTTGATTATAGTAAGTTAACTATCATAAAACTAGATGTGTAAAACCTTTTACATAAATTTAAGGCGATCCAATAATCAAATAATAAGTTATACTTATTTTCATTAGCTAAGCCAACTAACACGAACAAATCTATTATTAGACTAACCCATCTAGTTTATAAATCTATTTACTAGGATTCACACGTGATTCACATATGATAAATCTGTATTTGATTGATCATAATAACCTCTTATATACAAGGGTCATGAGCAAAACTTTTCTTGCGAATATATTAGTTTAGATATAAACTAGTTTTGGTGTCCGTGCTTCACCGCAAAGTCAAATTTTTTTTTATGTAAAAAATAATGTTTATGTGTTACAAGCATATTATAAAAAATATGTGTGACTCAGGTCATATACCTGATTAAGTTGAACAAATTGGTTTTATTTCAATTACAAAAAAGAGAAAAAAATAAATATCTCAATTCATAGCCTATTAAATACAGAAAAACAAAATAGGGTAAAAAAATAAATTAAAAACGGATCTTAGTCAACCCAAGTTACTTGAAAAACTTTTAACCTTGATAATCAGGACTGATCCAATCCATAACTTAGATAAGAAAATTGAAATAACTTAATAAAAGAAATAAAGATCATCATAAAGCCTTTTTTAATTAAAAAACAACTAGTGTTAACTTTTTAAATTTGTGAACTACGACATTAGATCCAATACACTCTATATAAAAAAAATCATGAAGTTTAATTTTTAATCAATCAAATATTAAAAGATGAAATTGAAAAAAATTACTTAAGTTTGGATAGATTAACAAGTTAGAGGATGATATTTTCAAGTCACCTTTAACTATATTAATATTCAAAATGATTTGAACAAAAACCTAACATGAGCGAGATTCTGAATTGATAGATCATCTAATGAACCTATAAAGGTAAACTAGATTTAATAATAATGATAAATCTTAAATTAACTAAATTGTATAAATTTATTGCCTAACATGAGTTGTATAAATTTAAGTTAGCATGGGTGAAGAAAAACCTAACATGAGAGAGGTTCTAAATTGTATAAATTTCTTGCCTAGTGGAGATTTTATTACAAAAACGAGTTGAAGAAAGTGTAAGCAAAGAAAAAGAAAGAATAAATCCAAACAGTTAGCATGGGTGAGTAAATTAACTATTATAAAAAATATTCATAAAAAAACAACTTAAAATTAATTGAATTGAATGATTTGTGGAATTTGTTTGATAATTTTGTTTAGAAACTAAAAGGTATGTTTGGTATGGTTATGATTTCAATTTTTTTTTTAAAAAATCAATTAGAATGAACAAATCAGTTTAATTTATTTGGTATAAGTAAACTATTGATTATAAACTAAAAGCTCATTAAGTTAAATCCAGTAAGATCTTACAGCTTAATTAAAATTCTATTAATTCAAATTAGACTTCTTTATTTTTAACAAATGTAAAACCAAATGAAACCAAATTAATATGTTTTCCTCTTGATTTATTTTGATATAATTTTTTTTTTAATAACAATTTAGTTTAGTTGGATTTTGTAATTACAACTTAACCATTTAAACTAATGCTTACCATATCAACTAAAAGAGCTTGGTGTTTTATTGTAGCATGTAAAGAGATTTATTGTAGATTCAATCAGAGTAATTAATATTTTACTCTTTATTACTCCTATTAATTGCCTTCGCAGGATAAAACTCTATTTTTCAAGGAACCCAAATGTCATTTGAGAATTAATTGAGTGTAAGATTGTCATTTTATGTATAATAAAAATACTTGACACGACCAAAAAATTAATATCTTCCTCCAAGTGTAGGAGCGCCGAAGTAATAAATGACACGGCAAGACCGAAGTCGAACCACAATGAGGTTAATTATATAAATTATAAATAACAGCAATACAACAATAACAACAAGAATAATAATAATAATAATAATAATAATAATAATAATAATAATAATAAGAGTAGTAGTAGTAGTAGTAGTAGTAGTAGTGATAGAAGAAGAAGAAGAAGAAGAAGAAGAAGTTGATGAGAACTTTGACATGGAAGATCAATGTAAGGATTAAACAATGATAACAACAAATGTCAAGGTTAGAGGATCCACTAATGGTATTTCAAACAAGTATAATATAAACTCTTATTACTCAAATAAAAACCACACACAAAGGAGGTTCTAATTAGATTATAAATTGTTAACATGAGTACATTAATTATCTTATTCGAATAATGCTAATACCTGTAAATATTATCAGGTATTCATGATTATAAATTATGTTAACAACAAATCAAGTTCCTTTCATAGCACAGGTATCGGTTATGCCATATGGTTTGTGCTATGAAAGTGCTAAGCATTTGTTGTACCAAGTGTTATACAACATAAATCTAGATTTGTCGTTTAACAAGCAAAGTATTAAAGAGTGAACAAGATAACAAATACAAAACATATTAATATCAAATATTAAAATCCATGTTAAGTTTACACTATACTTATTCTTATACCATTAGTGTAACCTTTTCACCTTGGCATAATAAACTTAGCCAAATATGATGAAAGAGAGAAACATAAATAAATAAGATAATAATATAAATAAAATAAAAGTTAACTAAATAAAGAAAAGGAAAGGAAAGGCATAAAAAAATATAAATGAAAGCAAAATTTAAGCATTACAAAAATACAAAGAGAGAAAGCAAGAGCATGACCTTAATCTAGAAACTAAGATGCCTAAATGCATGATAAATTCCTCATTTTATAGGTCAAAATTAGAAACTACTGATTTGATGACTAATTGATGAGTGAGTGGCCACATCTTGACTTGGTGACAATCCTTATCTTCTTGTCTGAATAAAACGTTATTGATAACATCAGAATTTGAACTAGACCTCCACATGAAAGTTCCAGGAAATTGTCTCAATTTTTTAGAAAAAAATAATTGAGGTCATTTAGACTTTTAGAACTCAAGATATGGGCCGAACACTAAACAGTGTTTGGGCTATAAGACAGATTCAAACTTCTTTGTTGTTACTACAATTTGGACTTGAAAACAACCTTTTTAAATCTTAGACTTGGCATTAAAGTTATAGGCCTATATCTTACCTTTACATTAATATAAAATAGATCTAAATCCGAGATCCACAACTCCATATATGACCCAATTATAAAACAATATTCCAGTTTGGACTGCATCAGCATCTTTTTTTTAAGTTTGGCCCTTTATTTATCCTTTCAATTTCAATACTTCAACTCATCAATCAATTCTTTTATTTATGTGATAGGCCTGTATTTAGGATGAACATTTACCATAAATTAAAGGTACTTTATGGTATCAGACTTGTTATTATAAAACATGTTTTAGTTAAGGAGTTTTTGATACTTCAAGTACAAAATGATGATATAAAACCTTGATAAAATGCCCTTTACTTATCCTTTCAATTTCAATACTTCAACTCATCAATCAATTCTTTTATTTATGTGATAGGCCTGCATTTAGGATGAACATTTACCATAAATTAAAGGTACTTTATGGTATCAG